AGAGTCCCCCCCCACTTCCCGCAGCCCCTTTCAGCCCTGGGGGGCCGCTCTAAGGTCTCCCCGGAGCCTTCTCTCCTCCAGCTGAACCCCCCAACTCTCCCAGCCTGTCCTCACAGGGGGGGCTCCAGCCCCCCCAGCATCTCCGTGGCCTCCTCTGGCCCCGCTGGAGCAGGTCCGTGTCCTTCTGCTGTTGGTGCCCCAGAGCTGGGCCCAGCCCTGCAGGGGGGTCTCCCAGAGCGGAGCAGAGGGGGAGAATCCCCCTCCGGTCCCACGTGCCCTTATCAAAGCCACGCTGGCCATCCCCATCACTCCTGATCCTCCGGGAGGATCCGTGCCGGAGCAGCATCTCCAGAGCCAACTCCGCTCCCCAGCTGCCCGGCAGCAGCCGCCGCACGGATAGTTTTGCGTACGTGTATCAGCCGCTGTTCAGCACCAAAGCGTCAAACGGAACATTTGACTAAATACCGTAAAATGGAGGAGGAATTTTGGGTGATCCCTTTTGGTCGTTAAGGGGAAGAGCTCCCCCAAACCGTTCCTGAAAGACCAGGGGTGAAGGGTGGTATTCCCCAGCATCGTGCACGCCCCGGCTGACGGACGTTGAGCTCAGCCTTTGCTCTCGCACTGAAGGTTGCCTCAATCAGGAAGATTCATGGTTTTGGAAGAAAACGAACATGTAATTCACTTTCTGGCTGAAAGGGGAAATCCTCTCCGCATCTCTGCAGGTTTTAAAGCAACACCCCACGAGACTGGGTTGTTTGGTTTTTTTTCTGAAGGTCCAGATCCGGTCCCTCAGCTTGGCGGAAGGGAGCGCACACCTCGGGTTTCTGCAGGGTCACTTCTCAGTGCTGTAATTCCCAGGCCGCCGAGCACTAACGCCAGCCGCTTTGGCAACGAGGTATTTCTTTTCCACTGCCCAACAAAGCAGGTATTGACATCACCAAATAAGCCGTCAGGTCTCACTGGTTAAAATGTTATTAAAAAGCTTCCAAATCCCTCAAGGTCAAGCTTTAAAAGCACCTTTAGGCCCGGCGCTGAAAGCAGAGTTACGCTGCGAGGGGCTGGGGAAGCTCCGACCCCGGTGACGGGGCAGCTCTGCCAACGGCCCTCTGACCTCAACACCACGCGCCGACAGCACCTTATTGAACAACAATGAAAAAAAAAAAGAAGTTACTTTCCTTTAAAAAAAAAAAGTCTATGACCAGGGATTAGGAGGTTACAGTTTCCACAACGATATCAGTGGGCTGATCCATTTCCAGCAGGGACAGCACCGATTCCTTGAGTTCTTCTGGGGTGACCCCAAGCGGGTCCCCCTTGGCGACCTTGTGGAGCACCGTCCCCTCGGCACCGCTGGGCTGCTGCCGCACCATGGCTGCCAGCCTCAGGCGGTACTCCTCCGCCTCCTGCTCCTTCCTTCGGAGCTGGCTGCGATATTCCTGAGCCTTCTGGTTCGCCTCCTGCAGCCGCTGCTGCAGCACTTCCCTTTCAACGCTGCCCTGTGGAAAACAAAGCGGAGAGAGCCCACGGTGTAGGCCCAACCCGCCACACGGAGCGCTCCGACACCTACCAGTTACAAAAGCAAAACGCTCCGAGGCGGTGCTGGAAACGGGCTCGGGTCGAGTTCTGTTGGACTGGTTTGCTCAGCCCGTGTCACCGGGGGCAGCCAGGACACGGGGAGGCACCGACTGGGTGGTGGGTGTCGGCCCCCCGGCGCGGGGAGGCACGCTGGGGAGTTAACGTGGGAGCTCGCCATCAGGAATTTCCAAGGTTGGAAGCAGGTGAGACCACGATGCGAGAGAACTACAGAGCCGTTAGTGCTGAAAAGTTGGGAGGCAACTGAGAGGGACGTTCCTCCTCCCAGCAGAGAATGATGGCGAGTCATTCCTGCTGCTTTAGGGAGAGCTGAGCCTTGGCTCACACCCAGCCCGCGTGTCGCGCTTCTACAGGAAATCCTAAATAATCTCAGCAGACGACCACGATTCATCTCAAAACCCTGAGCTACAGCTTCAGCACAGGCAAAACAGGCACACGAGGTTTAGCTGGCTCTTCTCCTCCTCCCTGCACTGCACCGAGCATCGCCGCTCCCCACCGCCCGCGTGTTCCCTGCAGGAATGCGTGTGGGAAGGGCGGGGAACCTCGGGGCACAGCTCGTCACAGAGACACCCCCGGGCTCTGCTCCTCCGTTCCAAGATGGTTTGGGCAGACCAGGAGCCCGCCATCCCCAGCACAGCCGAGGAACACGCAGGACACGACGGCAATCCGAGTTACAAGCAGGAGTATCTACCTTGTCTTCCGAGTCATCTACATTTTGTTCTACTTTTTGCTTCTTGGCTGGCGGCTCTTCCTCCTCTTCTGCGTCATCTCCGTCTTCAGCGAGAGTCTCTTCTGCAACCTGACCAGCAGGTACAGTTAAAACTGAAAAATTAAAAGGTGACAAATCATACAGGGCGAGACATGCACAGATGTTTCCCAAAGACTTCTCTGAAGTCAGCGCGTCAGCGCGGGCCTGGGGAGACGAGACCCGCCGAAGCCTTCCCGGAGAGAAGAGAAACTCCGGTCCGGGTCTCCAATTTTTGTTATTCAGGCCCCTGAAATTCCCGAGCATTTCACCACAACAGGGCTGGCAGAATCCAAAGTCAAAGATTTGCACGTCAGAAAACACGTGATGTAAGAACTATCATTGCGATGCCTCAGTAGCACAACTAAAAGCCGAGGGAGGCTAAGCAGGAGGAACAGAAGCTCTGCTCGGAAATCCCAGCGCGCGGTCGCAGGGGCTAAGCTCTGAATCAGCTTTGAGCACAAGCAAGAGCTGTAAATACTCCAGAGAACAAACACATTTTCAATCTGCAAACTGGGGTTTTCACTTTGGGAAGCCAGTAGCAACGATTCTACTTGAATTCGATTTCTTGAATAAGAGAAAGGCACCACGTGAGCTACCGAAGGTAGCGCTACCTAAACAGCTCTGCCTTTGTCTTCCTTAGACGAAGAACGGGTTTTTACTTGTAGTAATTTGGCAAATTTGGCAAATAATTCTGAGCAATTAACAGCTTCAGAGAACTGCTTTTGACTCGTGAAGCCTGTGAACAGGCAGAGCTGACGTGACCACCTCCCGCTGCAGCGCCGTGTGCATGTCGCAGCAGAGCGGCTCCGCTTCCTCATTTTCCTTTTCTCCACCCAACTGTTAATCCAAATAACGGAGCATCCCCGGGACACGCCGAGAGACTTGCTGGTAGCAGACAAGGCTGATGAATTACATCCCTTGAGGAAAGAGAAAAATCACTGCGGGAGCGCTCTGGAGCTCTGCCCTGCTTTACTGAGCACCACTTACATCTGCCTTGTAAAACGGAGAGATCACACTGCCCTAGGCAATGCAACTAGTTATGGGAGGAAGAGGCAGATTTAAGCTGATATTAATGGCCTAATACTAAGTTTTACAAGAACAGCAGAGTGATTGCTAAAGGTAAGAGGCTGCAGTTTCATCAGCCGAGCGATTTTACTCCCAGACAGGGAAGTTCACCATGAAATAAAGGAATCGCCTTCGCCCGGCTGCCGAAGAGACAACGGCTGAACCGGGCATTTCTGCTCAGGGTGTTCGGTTTTAATGCAAAGATCGAAATACTGAAGCACAGCAGCATGTAGTAAGCTCCGAACACGTGGCTGGCAAGCTCTACCACTGACATCAGTCCCAGAGGGATTTTAACCCCTCCCGGAGCCCGGCGGTCAGGCACGGATCAAGCCAGGTCGCACCCGCCGCCAGCCCTGCGGGGCTCCACGGGGCTCACAGGCAGCACTTAATCAATTTTATTTTTTTGTCTTTTTGGAGTTAATCCTCACGCTGCCTTCCGAGCCCAGCTCCTCCTTACCTTGCTGCCCATCCTGCATGGTCAGGATGAAGGGCTGGCTGAGGCCGCCGGCGGGGATGGCCGTTTGCAGGCTGCCCAGGGAAACGCCGTCGGTCACGATGGCGATGACGTGCTGCCCTCCGCTGCCAACCACGTGCTGCAGGGCAGAATCGATGGAATTTGCCTCCGCTACTTCCTCCGTCTTACCTTGAGAGAAATAAAGCAAGCGCCAAACAAAAAGAGTCAGCGTTTCCTTCTCTCTTCCTCGAATAGAAACTGAAGTGAAGAAAGCTCAAGTACGCGGCTCGAGGCTCCTGGGATGCTGCTGCCAAAAAACAAGCTGCAAGTACAGAGAAACACGTTACCGAGACATAAAGTCTGAGCAGGGGAAAGAAAAGAAAATCCACTACACCTGAACAAAACAAGTCCAGTTCTGGAGTAAACCCAGCGGGTTTGGGGTAAATTAATAAATACCAGCATCTGAGCACTTGAACTGAATTAAAAAGCCCGGAGCTGGAGGCAGCTGCCCGACAGGCCTGGCCAGGCTCCCCCCGCGACCCTTCTCCCAGCTCCAACGCAGACAAGCCCCACGCAAAAATCCTCTTTGTGCCTCAAGAGCCCCGTCCCCACGGGCACGGCCCAGGCGACCCCCAGGAGGCTATCGAGCATGGCCGGGTGACTCCACTCCCCGGGACACTTTTTGTGTGTGACCTAACAGCTCGTACAAATAATCAGGATTTCAACCCTGCGGCTGCATCCTGCTCCCGGCGCAGGAAACAGGGGGGGTCTGACCCGCTGGGGCGCTCCGGGTGCCAGGGAGGAAAACACTCCCGCACCCCAGGTCAAGGCGTCGGCACCAGCAGCTTGAGGAAGTCAAATGGCTCCTCTCTGGGTTCTAGGAAAAACGCTTAGCTTTGGGGAAAAGAACCGAATCCCAAGGGGAAAGGATTATGTAAACTTTATCAAACCCTTCAATCTGAAGTTAACGAAAGGTCAAACAGGACACTCTACAAACATACCGTAAAAGATCATAAAAAAACCCGAAGAACATGCCCAAACCTTTCCGTAAGAAAAACTACCAGAGCCTCCAGAGACTCAAAACATTGGCTACCAACATTTTACACCAAAGCAGGGACAGAAAACACTTCAAGGTCCTTCTTAAACAAATACTTGTCTCCATTTACTTTGCTACGAAGTAAACCTACGTTCTAGAACTCTGGGGGCTTTTTTTAATATAATTGTTAAAGCACATCAGGAGGACATACTGTCACGTCAGGCTCAGACAGGCTGGCTAACAAAAATGAAGTTACTTCTACTGGTAACAGTTGCTCTTTTTTAAAATTAAATTTGAACGGGGATTAGCAAGAAAAAAAAAAACAAATACTGCTTCACTGCTTCACAAATATTTGTCATCATCTCCTCCTTACCCTTAAAGAAGGCCAATGTACCTCCACATCTTACATTTCCTTCGATTTCCTGGCCAGAGCTACACAAATTTGAACCGGCGTCTGCCCGGTTTCCCCTACCTGGGTCTCTGTTTGAGTTGGGCAGCGGCGCCGATACCTCGGCGAGGGCCGCAAGCGCAGCAAGCACGGAGGTCGATGAATTGGGAAACTGCGCCGTGGAGATGTGAGAGTCACCTGGTGGGGAAAGACGAGGGCAAACGGAAGGACCGTCAGGACCTGCCACACCTAAACGGCGAATGACGCACTCAGAAGGCAACAATTTGGTCTTCCAGAGATCAAGATAGAGGCTGTGAAGTATTTTCTGGGCTGGCAGTGGCCAGCAGAGACAGGGAGGTGGTACAGATCATTTTTCAGTGACTGACTGTGAAGGGCTTTGATGCTACTTGAGCACAGACTGCACCCACTCAGAATATTTTACGATCATTTTAATCGAACCGAAAGCAAGTATTTTAAGTTTTTTCTGAACCACATCACAAAAAGAAGAGCACAGATGACCCGATTTGCTCCAGCTTGGCTGTAGGAGGCAGGGGAAGGCAGGCTGCCTGCCGGGCCCCCGGGCTGCCCAGCTCCCCCCGGGGAGACAGGGGCGGCCCTTCGAGCCCCGGACGGCCGGCGCTGGAGCCCGAGGGCTGGGACGTCCTGCACAGCGGTTCCTACGCACGGAATTTCTTGGCTTCGCGTCGTACCGCCGCTTGCAAAAAACTGCAAGAAGCTGAAAAGCATTTTAAACTCGTCGGCTACCACGAGTAAATTCCAGCACCCAAGTTCTTCCCAAACTGGGAGAGTCTCCAGCTCGACTTCAGGGGCCAAAGGTTTTGGCACAAGTCAGTTCAGAGCCTTTTGCTCCGAGGCTGAGATCAGCCGCGCGTGCGGGTCCGTCCTTCCTCCCCGGGCAGGTTGGGCAACGGAAAGACCCCGGTTACTGCAATGGGGTATTGATTTGAACGAGCTAAACAAGCCTTCTCACTTCCCAAAAAACAATGTTTCTTCCTCCAATTGACCACGGTAACTCCTATTCAAAGGCCGACTTCATAAGAATGAACAGGAAATTAACTAAACGGGCGCAAACTCAGTGCATAAAACCCACAATTCCTCTTAAAAAAAAAAAAAAATCCTGTACTTCACTGCCAGCTAGATAAACAGATTATAAGCACACAAAGGGAAGTTCATCTGAAGTTCTCCCGCCTTAACCCTTGCGGCCTATTTTCTCTCTTTGGTGCCAGCTCCTGGTTTCAGGAGTTTGTTCAGGGGTTATTTCCAAAGGACGACACTTGCAAAAGGTCGTGGGCTGGGCACGTGAAAAAAAACACAGGACTAGTGACTGTCTCCAGCAGCTAAAGGTACTCGTTCGGCTTTAAAAACTTTTTTCAATAAAGGAAGACATCGGGAATTTAAGAGAGGCAGGAAAAAAATTATTAACCAGACGTGCTAAATCAGAGGGGTTTGTTATAATGAAGGTGCAGTCGCTGATGCCCTCTTGTGGGAAATGAGGAAAAAAAACTCCCGACGTGACCCAGGGCAGGGGACACCGGCTCTTCCGAAGCTGCCCGGCTACTGCTGATCCTTGCAGTGTCGCGGGGGGAAAAGCCCAGGGTATTTTAGTCCGGTCCCATGCGGACAGTAAGCTGCCGCCGCCGCGCTGTGGCACCGAAAGGCGATTACGGCGCAGGATGTACGAGGATGCACGAGGGGAGACGGGGATTTACAAGGCCAAGAGCTCATCCGGAGGGAGCGCTGCGAGGCCGCGAGGGGACGGGGCTGAACTTCCACATCAAAGGGATGGAGGAGATGGAAGAAGAGGAATGATTTCAGCTGAAGGGCTGCATTCGCACCAGGAGAAAGTCCGAACGGGCTGTGAACGTGTTTAAGCTAAAAGGAGCTTTCTAACAGGGCGCTGGTCGCCGTGACTCCCACCTGGCAGAGCCTGACCTGTCTGCAGGGACCAGCACCGTGGCCAGAGCGTCCTCCCGGCTGCAAAACCCCCAAATTTTATGCCCCTTTTGAGTTTGAGGAATGTCCTTGACCGACGATGCCGTGCGCCAGCCACGCTGCAGCTTCCTCACGTTTTCCCCTCTCGGAGGGAGGGGCTGTCGGTGCCCCGAAGCTGCGAGCAGCCCTGGAAGCTTGGAGGGCAAGCCTGGAGCTGGCTGAAGCGGCCGTGGCCAGGCCCAGGCAGAGAGGTCGGGGTGGGACTGCCCAAACCGGGGGTTCCCAAAGCACTCTCCAGCATGTGAAAGCTCCCACTGACCAAAGAATTACTCACAGGCAGAAGTGTTTGCAGGATGAGGCCAAATAGCTTCACAAAACTTGTATTTGGTAGCCTCCTTGCGACTGAAAAGAAACAATGGTTTGGATTTCCCCAAACACAGAAAACTCGCTTTAAGAGTTAACGATGAAAATTGGAATTACACAAGAAAGAATTCACGCTCAGCCTTGAAAAGTGTTTTCCCCACCAAAATAAGGCTCACAGGAACAACGAGGAACCTAATTATTTCCATCCAAGATGTGGGACAGAAGAAATAAGGAGTAATCTACATATCCAAGAGTCCTGCTTGCTCTGCAATTTCCTCACCCAACATTTACACACAGTAAAACATTCCCTCAGCTCTTGTAGCCAGGGAAGAACAAGGTAAACTGTTCCCCAACCGCTCGGCAGCGCTCAGGATTTGGCACAGGCCATAACTCTCATTATTCCTCTGTTGCAATCAGCCAAATCCATTCTCTCAAGCTCCGTAACAGACCTGGAGCAGCCCCACAGCTGAGCTCAGCAGAGCTTTGCCACGCACAGCGGCGCCACCTTCACTTACATCAGCCAGAAATCTGCTTTGTTACCTTCGATGGCAAAAAACGTTCCGGGGCAGGAAGCAGTAGTTGGGTGTGTTTGGCTGGATTTCACCACTTTTCCTCTACTAAATAACCATCTGCCCTCTACTGGTAGGCAGCCTCAGAAACTTTTTTCACAACTTTCCCACTCAAGGTCACGTAAAACCTTACCTGAGGTTGTTTTGGCGTCTGCTGAAGAGACGAGACTGGCCAGATTGAAAACTTCTCCTGGTGACAGAAGAAACGGTGAGGTGAGAGTCACAGTGCTGGTGACGGGGTTCGTTCTCTCTGGATGAGTGTTTACCTGGTTCTGCATGGCTTCCTAGGAAAAGAGCGGGGTCAGGCACAAAGTCATCAGGCTTTCTGTGCTGAGGAGCATCTTTCAAACATTTTAGAGGCAGATTATTTCGCTCTGCAGCACGTCAGACACACCGGTGAAAAAAAGCTGTGATAAAACTACCACCTGAACTTGAAAACTTGTGAAACAACAGCTCAAGGTGCGTGGTAATAAAACCCCAACACCCCCCAAAGTCCTAGCAGGCACACGCCGGTGGATCTAGAAATCCAACACACCTCATCCACCTCCGTACTTCCAGCTCCCTCTGCAAAGAGAAAACGATCCCACCGGACACAACAGGATCCCTGTAGCGCAGAGGCGGCTGCGGGGCAGAGAATTACCAGCAAGTTTCTCCCTCCCGCATCTACCTGCAGCATGACCAGAGTCTCTGGATTGTTCTTGTCCAAAGCGATATCGAAAGCCGATTTATCGAACTTGCTGAAAGCGTGGACGTCAGCTCCGCATCTGAGGAGCAGCTCGACGACGTCGCGGTGGTTGTGCTCCGTCGCCCAGTGCAGAGCCGTCATTTTCAGCATGTCCTTGGCGTTTACATCGGCCCCGTTCTGAAAGAAAGCAGCTTTATTTGCCTGCGCGCTGTCCCCTCTCAGGGTCTTCAAGGTGGTGCCTCTGCGTTTCAGCATCAACGCTTGACCCTGAGGGTGATTTAGACCAGCCTTAACGTTAGGCCGGGTTGTCTGTACTTACGCTGATGAGCAGCTCTACAATGTGAGTGTGTCCGTCGGCCGCAGCCATGTGCAGTGGCGTCCGGTCCACTTTCGTCCGGGCATCTCTGCTCACGCCGGCACGAAGCAGCACTTCAGCTGTCGAGTAGTGGCCGTACTGGGCAGCCAGGTGCAGCGGCGACGTCCCGAGCTGCGGGCGAGTTTACAAGAGTTACTGTCGGTCCACAGCGGGAGAGGACAGCCACAGCAATCACCACGTGTACGTCCGGCAGTAATTAGAATTACAAAGCTTCTGGAAGAAACACATTTATCCTTTTTACCTCCACTCAGAAATAGGGGGCCGCCCATCCAATAATTTTCCTGATAAACCTCAGACTTCTCAGGGATCTGAGCCTCCTGGTCCCCTGAGCCTCCTTCCCACGGCAGAGCGGCGCAGCTCTCACGGCAGGTGAGGTCCCGCTGTGCAGAGAAGGGCCCGGGCACAGCAGCCCCAGGCTCTGCTGCCTCTCCTGCAGTTCACCCCTTCCCCTCGCACAGCTCGTTAGTCAGGAAAGGAACCCGACTGGTGATGGAAAACGGCTACTGACGGCTTGTTCGTTATTCTCTGGTTCTCTGTTCATCCAACTGTTACCCTTCAGCTTTGTTAAAGCTTTTATTTCCTTTCCAGCCCCAGGACGGGCTGGTTTGTTTTCAGGTTTGGGGTTTAAGGAAACAAAAAAACTCCTAAAGATGAGTTTCTTGACTGCGAAAGTTTAAACAATTAAATAAACTTTTTGTAGAACTTCCTATTACCGAGAGGTTTAACAGTTCTTCCCACTTGACTTGACCCATCATTTTGCTGCTGGGAACTGCAATTCTCAAAGCATTGAATCCTGTACCTGTTGGTGGCCCCAGGACAACACGGTACCTGTCACTGTGCTCGCGGGCATCAGCCTGAGATCAACCCTTACACAAACGTCAGATCATCTCTGCCTAAGTCTTGGTTCTTAAGAGTGCTTTATCTGGAATCCCCTCCAGCACAGGAATCCAGAGGTGCTTTTTCTGCCAACCCACGCTCTGGTGTCACAGCTCCGGGTTCCACCCGCACCTTTCAGGCCCAGCACTACGGGCGCAGGCACCCGCGCCCGCTCCCCCACGTACCCAGTCGGTGGTGAAGGGGGCGCCGCTCGCCATCAGTTTCCGCACTTCGTCATCTTCGCCCTTGCGAGCTGCTTCGAGCAACCTCTTCCCTAGGTCCACTAAGGACATCTTCACACATGGGAACAAGTACTGGCCGAAAGCTGCTTTAAAAGACACAAAGAGAAAACGAACAAAGAGCAGTGAGGCGGAGACCTGGTAAAAGCGCCCATCAGGACACGCCATCTTCCCACAGAGCCAGGCCCAACACACGCATAAATATTTAGATTTTTCAGTTCCGTGCCCTGAAAAACCAAGCAAAGGCAGCACAGAGGCTCAGCAAAGGGGTCAGACACCAGAAGCCACCAGAGCTCCTGCTTACCTCAACAGCACCTTGCACGGAGACGAAGACTGGCCCATGTGGATCCAGTTCCAAGAGCAGAACCTACAAAAACAACAGCAAAGCTGTTGGCACCCCACGCACATCATTTGGATTTTTAAAGCACTTTTAAGATGATTTAATCTCCGAGACCCTCTCACTGACCCCAGCACTACCAGCTAAGCCTGGGGGAAGGAAGGATCCCTGTTCTCTGCCCGTAGAGCATAAAACAAACCTCAGTGACTCCAACGCCTTGTCCAAGGTCGTAAAAGGAGCAGCACCCAAAAGCTGGGCTCAACGTACCACACAACAGTCTCTATCCATCCCAAGCTCCGCAGAGCACAGCGTGATGACGGCACTAGCGAACCACGGCGTGTTCTGACGCCGGGGGTGCGCTGGGACACCGACCCAGGGCCGACTCGAGCCGTCGATCGCTCACGCGGTGCCTTCAGTACCCAAGGTCTGTGCGAAGGGGCGCGGCGCCACCCCCCAACAGCCCCTCCGGCAGCATGAGGCCCTCCCCTTCAACTCCAGTGCTATGAAATAGTCAGAAAGCTCTATTTCTTCCTTTATGTCTTGTTCTTTCAAGAGAAACACCCCAGCCTGTCCTGAGTGACGAACAGGACCCGCTACGAGTAGCGCCAGCCCCTGACAGCAAAGGCAAGCAGCAAACCTCCCCCCTGCAGCTCACCAGGGCCCCCTGCCCGCATCCTCTCCCTCCACAATTCCACAATCTCACTTTCTAAGACTCTTTTTTTAGGGCGTGCAGCTTCTTCCGAGCGCGCAGTCATTACGCGCAGCCTAAAGCTCGGAAGTCAAGAGCCCAGAGCAGGTACTCAAAGAGTTCACCCTGCAGCCAGAACCTCGGCGCATTTATAATCCGTGTGTTTGACCACCACAACCCCCTCTTGCCCTTTAGGATTTTCCAGTTTGGGTTCTGTTGTTTGGTTTGGGGTTGGTTTTTTTTTTTTTTACCCTTTCTCACTTCTTGCGGGACACCGTCTATTTCTCAAACGTTCCTTCTCATCGCCACACGTCGAGCACACGCGCGTGTTTTCCGGGCACGACTCGTTGCACCCATCTCTGGGCTCCGAGTTAACCACCAGCTTGCGAGAGCGGCGCTTACCACCCTGGGCAGGTTTGGGAAAGAAAGAAGCGGAATCCTTAGGAAAACCAGTCATTTCTCTCCTCCTCGTATCAACCCGAACCTTTGTCGCTAATTAAATTATTCGGAGGCCTCGCATTCCTGCTCTCTTCCCAGCAGGATGCTTCCAGGGAGGATTTCAGTCTGAGGCTCCCTCTCTTTTTTTTTTTTTTTAATTTTTTTATTTATAAATATAAAAGTTATTTACAGCATCCGCAGCTTGGGCTGCTCTTGACAAACTCCTCCACCTCCCCTCGCCGCTTTTCAGAAGTAACAGGGAAGAGAACGCTTCTCCAAACCCCTCTGAGCAGTCGGGGGGGGGGCGGCAGACCCGCCTCAGGACGCCCCAAAAC